CATAGAGGTGTGGGGCATTCTCTCTCACACACATACACACACACACACACACACACACACACACACGAGTGTCAGGCCCAGCCCTCCTGGGCAGCGTGCCTGGACCAGACTGGCCCCCAGCGAGCAGACCAGGTTGACCCCAAACAGCACTGGGCCTTCCTCTGGCTGCTCCAGCCTGGACCCTGTCAGGGCTGCAGCCCTGCGTGCCCACCCTGGCCCAGGCCTGTGCGCAGGCCTAGGCTTCAGTCCAGGGAACGAGGTGCAAACTTTGGCAGAGTTTTAATGGCAAGGTTGGCTGCAGCGACAGTGCCACGCGGGTGGGGACCAGAAGCTGTGGTGGGCAAGGGGTCAGTGGGCAACAGGGCAGGGCCAGATCCCTGAAGAAGCAGCGAGCGAGGACCGGTGGGCGGTGGCGGGCGGGCGGGCGGGCGCTACATGATGGAGCAGGCAGACAGCGGGTTCCGCACGTGGCAGGTGCACGCGGCCCCGCAGTACTGCCGGAAGGTCTGGTAGCAGCTGCCCTCAGGCTCGCCCCCCCACTGGCCACCGGACGGAGCGGTCAGTGCCTCGGGTGGCAGGCGGCTCAAGATGGACGTGTTGACGGCCAGCGCAGCCAGGCCGTAGTCAGTGAAGAGCACAGTCTCGCGGCGGCAGGTGGGACAGGAGATGAACTTGTACTTGGGGCAGGACTCGTAGAGAATCTGCAAGCACTGCTCACACACAGAGTGCAGGCAGGACAGCACGCGGGGCCGCCGCTGCGTGACGTTGTACGTGTGCCCGCAGGTGGGGCACTCCAGAGGCTCTCCTGCAGCCGCTGCCGCTGCCGCGGAGGCCCCTGAGGCCGCAGGGCCAGGCCGAATCACGTACTGATTCACGATGACCTCGTCCGCCGGCGCCACTCGGGGGAAGCCCAGCTCCGCGCTGCCCTTGCGGGGCCGACGTGGCAGTGGCGGGGTGCAGGGCGCCCCTTCCAAGGCAGGCATGTCCCCCCCACACGCCTGGTTGACGATGATCTCTGTGTCTGAGGGCCAGGCTCTCTTGGGTGCCAGAGCGGGGGTGGGCCGGGGTGCAGGTGGGAAGCAGGGGGCGGCCGCCTGCAGCTCGGGGAACTTCTCAGGGTGGACCATCTTCATGGCCTCCATCTTGAGGATGACATGGGGGCCCTTCAGGCAGGACATGAGGAAGCTCGGCCAGCCACTGCCCGCCTCGGGCCCAGGGTCAGCCGGCATCCGGCTGTCTCCAGTCAGACTGGGTGTTCGGGTGGGTGGGGGAGTTGGGTGCAGCCGGGGGGGAGGAGAGGGGGCAGCATCCTGGTCCCGCCAGGCCTGGTGGGGACCCTGGACGCCCTGTGGACTCCTGGGGGAGGCTGGCAAGAGCTTGGGGGGAAGGGCCCCCCCCAGTGGCCACAGTGGCTTCTCAGGTCCAGTCCGAGGAGGAGGAGGAAGGAGCGGGGGAGGAGGAGAGGAACAGGGGCAGGGGGGTGTGGGAGACTGCCCTGGGCTGGAGGTCGGGCCCAGGGGCTCACCCAGGGTCTCTGGCTGCTGAGGCTGGCGAGGGGGCGTTGGGGGGTGTCCCCCTGCAGCCGAGATCAGCCGTCCCGGGGCCGGGACATCCGGGCAGGCAGGGGCTAGGTGGGCCCCATGGCTCCAGGACAGGGCGCCCAGGGAAGGCAGCTAGCCTGAGCCCTGGCTGCAGAAGGACCCGGGCTGCAAGCTCGGCGGCGGCGGCGGCCGCGGCGGCCGCGGCGGGAGCAGAGGAGAGGCCTTCACCGGGCCCGAGCTGCAGGTGAGAGACAGCGTGAGGGCAGCGCCCGGGCCCACCCTCACCCTCACCCTCACCCTCACCCTCACCCTCACCCTCACCCTGCACAAAAGGGTGCCCGACCTCTGACCCTTACCCTCGCCAGACTCGGAACCCAGCCCCCTCCCCTGTCCCCGTTCCCGAGGCCCGACCTCTGCCTAGGAGTGGAGGCCGGCGAGCGGCGACCCCGCGCTGTCCCGCCCCGCCCGCGCTCACCTGCCCCAGCCTGGCGTCCCCGGCCGGGCCGCGCGCCGCCGCCGCAGAGGTTGTCTCAAAGGCAGGCCTGGATGCGGCGCCCGCGCCTTGGCCCGGTGGCTCCGGCGGCTCTGGCGGCGACCTCGGGCGATGGCCGGGCCGCGGCGGCTCCCGGGGGCGTGGGGCGCGGGGCTCGGCTCGGCGCGGCGGCGGCGGCGGCGGCAGGTGCGTGCCGAGCGTGGCGCGCTCTGCGGCGGAGGCGCGGGGACCGCAGTGCGCGCGGCGCCCGCCCGCGCCCGCAGCGCCACCCCCCCCCCCCCCCCCCCGGGGCCCCCGCCGGGGCCGCGGGGGGGGGCCAGTCTCTCTGCCGCCCCTCGATCCGCCGCGGGCCTGGCGCCGGCTCTCGGGGTCGCCCTCCTCCTCCCCGCGCGGGCCGCGTGGGGGTCAGGATCTCCGCGGCGTCCCCCCTCCTGCCTCCCCTTCCCCCGTCCCCGCCTGGCTGAGCCTGGGTCCTAGTCAAGCCCCCCGCCTCAATTCTGGAAGGGAAAGCCTGCTTTGAGCTCTCACAATGCCAGAGGGAGGAAGGGGAGGAGAGAGCCCAGGGGTGGTCCCATGAAAGCTGGTTCCCAGGACCCCACCATGGGACTGCCTTGTGTCCCCGCCAGAGTCAGGGTCTCTGCTTGCCCTTCCACTCGGCCCCCAGTGGGGATGCCTCCAGGGTTTTCTGGCTCACAGGTGCAGCAGGCTGTTTCAAAGACCGCGATGTGACAGAAGAGGGTGATCAGGGGCGGGCAAGCCACATCAGAGGAGTGAATGGAGGGAGGAACGGCAGTTGGGAGAATGCTCCCGGGACAGGACAGTTGGACAGATAGGTGGTGTGAGGGGTAGGTGGAAGGTCAAACAGACAGCTGGACAGGCTGCCATGGGGCAGCTCAGGGAGGACACGCACCTACACAGGGTGGGGTGGCCCTTTCCAGCATCCCAGCAGGTCAGCACGTGTCCCGTTGTCACAGAGTTGTGTGCTAACCTGACCGCACCCAGCACAGAGGCTCCATTCCTTTCTGCTTCTTCCTCAGGCCAGGCTTCCTTGCCCACCCCCCCACCCCCCGGGATACGCCCTCTGCCTGTGAGGAGCTCTCAGGTGAGAGGGAAGACAGAGGACACGCTGACAAATACAGGGCAAGGGACCAGGGCTGCATGGGCCTCCAGAGAGCCTTTCCCTAACCTGCCAGGGCCACCACATGGCATGCTGGCACTCCTTTGATCAGCACTGGGCCATGCATCTAACCCTGGACAGTCCCAGCCCCTTCTGGCCACAGCTCCTCTGCTCTGTACAGGCCAGACTGCACCTGGCTATACACCTAGCCCCAAGTCCTGCAGGCAAAAGAGCCCGGAAAGGTCGGCGCTCCTGATAAAGGGCCCCACGCGGGCAAAACAGGCTGCAGAGGCACCCCTGGCCCATAGGCCTTGACTTTGCCGCTCTTTGCTATCTCAGGCTAGTGCCTGCGCCTCTGTGCCCTCCCCCATTCAGCGAGAGCATGTGTGCTACTGTGCAGGTGCCCCGTGGGAGGGGCAGCGGGGTGCTTATGGGGCCCTGGCGCGAAGGCAGAGAACCTGCGGCAGCCCCGACCAGGGGAGGACTGGGGGTCCAGTCTAGGCAAGGGCTTTGCTCATCTCCCCACCAACTCCCTAGGCGCGCACCCAAGGTGGTACCGGCCACTAGGCCCCACCCCTTACCCGAGGCCCCGCCCCTGGAGATAAAGTCCACCCAGTGCAAGGCTCCCGCCCAGAGCCCGCCCAAACCCACGCCTCCCGAGCCGGGCGGCTCAGAGATGGTGCAGCCCAAGCCGGGTCCTGGACAGATGAGGCCAGCTGACCCCGAACCTGGTGTTTAGGAAAACCCTTGAGCGCAGAGGCTTCTGGGGAATATAGTTCCCACCGGTCGCACCTCCACCCCAACCCTGTCAGTCCTGTTTTGCGCATGCGCCAGCCTCCTCTCAGCAAGGGGCAGAATCTGTAGGGGCTGTGGGCGGGGCTTCTGGCGCCTGCGCACTGGACCTCTGTTGTCCGCCTCCGAACTTCCCGGTCTTTGGGCCTAATTGCCCCTACGTCTGGTGCCGCATCGGTACTACTCATGTCCGGACCGGTCTGACCGGCCCCATGCAGGCCACTCTGGTCAGCTGGCCTCTGGGCCGTGTCTGATTTGATCCCGCCCTTCCTGGGGGTGCCCCCCGAGCGCCAAGGACTAGGGGTGCGTGTCCAGGCCGCACCCTACTGTCCCGGTTGCCCCAAGCGGAGCTCACCGTGCCAGGCCCAAACCCAAGACCCCAGCGCTCACATCCACCCCCCCACATACAGCGACCCTGTATGGCAGGTGCTATGTGCCCCCTCACAGATGGAGGGGATGCAAGGGCCAAGGATGGGGACGCTGAGGGATCGGGGGCTTGTGGCCCACGAGGCCACCGACCAGAGGGAAACTAGTTTCAGAAATGAGCTAGAAACGTCACTTGTGTATGAAGCCCATGTCGCCAATTGTAAGTTGAGTAAGTTTTGTCGGCAAAGGTGTGTGAACCGAGCATTTCTTATCGGTTAAAAAACCAGCAAACCTCCAAGCCGTGCGTCCGCAGACATCTTGGTCTCTGCCTGCGGGTAGAGGCTGGGTCGCAGTGAGGACCTCTGCTCTCTGCTTCGGAGCAGAGGCTCTGAGACGTGTAAGTAATGGCTGGGCCCCCACCACCTGCAGGCCTGACCCCAGACTCGCCTCCTGTGCTGCCTTCTGGTGAGCTGCAGGTCCCTGGAGGGCCAGGACATGCCCCAGATGCGTTGAGGCTGAATCACCCAGGCTGGCAATGTCCCGGGGAGGCCAGGTTGCAGTCAACGCCCATCCAAAAAAGGAACGGTGGGTGGCCGCTGTGCTCCAGGATCCTGGGAACCCCACCTTTGAGCCCCGCCCACAGCCCCGCCCCTCCCCAGGAGGGAAAGGGCAGCCGCCAGTCGCTCAGCTCACAGGCACCGGGCCCCGGCCCAGAGAGCTCACGGGCACCGGCCCAGAGAACAAGACAGCTTGCTGCCGCCACCACTTCAGGTGGGTCCTGGGCTGAGGGGCTTCCGCACCCCCTGTAGGACCAGCTTAGCTGCATATCCCAGCCCCCACCCCACTCCCAGCTCCATCACAGGGCCCTGTCTCTCAGGGAGGGCAGGGGACACCTGGGGGCAGCTAGGAGACGCTGGCCCTCACTCTCCTTACTCTCCGCTGCCTTGCACGCGCACTGACACATAGGCCTCACACATACACTCAGGCGCTTCCACAGCCTGGCTTTTCTTGGGTTCCCCTCCACTGAGCTGATTTTGTCTCCTCTGCCCACCCCTGCCAGGGCAAGCCATGGACCCCCCTGAGATGCTCGTCAAGGACCCGTATGCCCATGTCAGCATCCCGAGGGCTCACCTGCGGCCCGAGCTGGGGCAGCAGCTGGACGCGGCTCCATCCTCTTTGGAGTCTCAGCCTCTGCCCGTGGGGTCCTGCACCCTGGAGCCTACCGAGGAGGCCCCAGGGCCCAAGGGTGCCAAGGGGCCTGCCTCCATCCAAGGCCAGCAGGCCTGGCAGCAGCCCTGCACCCCCTATGGCAGTGGGCAGGGCCAGGCAGGACTGACCTACGCTGGCCTGCCGCCGATGGGGTGTGGCGGCAACACTGCCCACCACTGCTGGTGCTGTGTCATTTCCTAGCCTGGCCCCTGGGCCGCAGGGCCTGCTGCGCGGCGCCCCCACATGGCAAGCCGGGTCTCTGCTCAGGTGGCCACAGCAGTGCCTGGACAGTTGGAACAGCCACTGGCCTGTTGTCATGGGTGTTGGCTGCTCCCCACCCTGGACAGCGGCACCTACCCACCGAGAAGGCTGACAGCTCAGCCCCCGCCCCTGAAACAGAGCCCTGGGCGTTAGCCATAATGGCAGCCCCGGGGACACCCTTGACCACCTCTTCAAGGCCCAGGGCCAGGCAATAAAGCAGGGCGAGCTTCGTCCCGGCCCCTCTTCCTTGCTGCTACCCGCTTTGGGAGGGTCCCAGGCTGGAGGCCACCACAGGCTGCCAGCCGCTATGGGACATTCCGGGGTGGGGCAGCCTCATGACAACCTAACCTGCTCTGCACTCTCAGGTTGGCCCAGAGGCTGGACAGGAAGGCTGGTCGGGCCTGGGTTTGAGCTGCCCTGCATTCCCTGGGGCCGAGGGTGAGCATGGGAAACAAGAGAGTCTGCGGGTCACACAGCAGGAGCATGCTGGGCCTGGAACCAGGAGTAGAGCCCGAGAGAAGCCTCCAGGAGGAGGACTCTGCTGGCAGCACAGTGGTGGGCGGCACCAGCGCGGGCAGGTTTCCAGGAGTGGAAGCCCAGGTGGCCAGCACCGAGCCTGCCCACCCGTGACTCACTGCCCTGCCTCGGCCGGGGTGTTTTCCTGGTTTCCCACAGAACATCCAATTCCTGAACATCTGCCGTGTGCTTCTCCCCGCTGTCCTGCCTCTGGGGCCTGGGCTTTGTGGAGGTGGGCAGAGAAGGCGCTGGGCCAGACCCATCCCCCACCTGTCCAAGCAGCACAGCGCACCTCGTCAGGGGCATGTGGGGAGCTGAGCCGTTTGGCACGGGGGTGAGGCCGGGATGCCGGTGTGAAGACTGAGCAGCGAGGCCGGTACCGGGCACACCGATGTTTCCGGGACCAGGCAGAGAGAGCCGGAGGAGGCCAAGCTGGCCCCGCAGGATGGACGTGTCCTGGTGCCAGCCTTCCCCCGACCCCTGGTGACTGGCCACACGGCAGGACTGGTCCCTGGGCGTGGGCAGGCGTGTCACTGGCCTGACTCCACGGGGCTCAGGCTCCCGGCCCTGCCCCATGACTGGCCCGCACAGGAAGATGACCCCACCTGGGCCAGTCACCAAAAACCCATCTGACCAGCTCAGGAGGCGGGGGCCTGCCGGGATGGCAGGAGTAAGGAGGGGACCCTCTGGGCCTGGCTTCCTCTAGCGGGACAGAGAGGGTTCTGGGGTCCTGACCTCAACCCACCCTTCCCAACACACCCCATTCTGCTATGTCACTGGGCTGGCCCCAGAGCTTTGGCCAGGCAGAGGCCAGGGGGAGGTGGCCTCTGAGGAGGGCATCTGGAGCTGCCCGCGGTGCCCTGCACCTCAGAGAGTTTCTGGGTGGTCTCTGTATGAGTGGGGATCTCTACTCCTGTGCTGGAGGGCCTCCTTGCAGCCTTACGGGGCTGGCTTGTGATGGGAACGTGACAGGCCTAGCCCAGACAGGGACAGAGGCAATGGGACAAATCAACATGGACACGCACACCGTGCCTGTCCCTGAGCCACAGAGCAGAAGGACCCCTCAGAGCTCTGAGCTGGTGGGGGTCCTGGCAGGCTTCCTGGAGGAGGTGACGCTTGAACTAAGAGCTGAAGAACAGGCATCACCCAGGTCAAAGCCAAAAAGCTTTCCCATCGTGAGGTGGGGGTGGAGTATGAGTGCGGGTGGGGTGGGCACAGGTCTGGGTGGACGAAGCGGGAAGATGGGCAAAGTTGAGTGGCAAAGCCAGGCCTGGGTGAGGGGTTAGTGGAGCTGGGTCTGCGCACGAAGGGGGCGGGGCAGGCAGAGTGGGGGGGGCCCTTATCTCCTGATGAGTTGGTGGTGCCGGTGGATCCAGTTGCAAGCTCTTTGTGGCTGAAAGGGGAGCCCACGCCTGCCCACAGCCACCACCTGCCTCCCTGCTGACTGGTCCGTGGTAGGCCAGTAACGCGAGCCCCAAGGAGGGAGCCGCAGGGCGCCCTGGGTCCCCCCTACGCCCAGCCACCCTCTGGCTGGACATAGCCATCCAGCAGAGCGGATGCAGGTAAGAGACGCCTGCGGCTCAGGCAGGCTGGGGTGGGTTCGGGCCTGGGATGGCGCACGAGAGCCACAGAGGGAGACCAGACAGCAGGGCAGGGTGCTGCCCAGCAGCTGTCACAGGGACCCAGGCTGTGCCCAGAGCCTGGTGTCCACCAGGCCCACTGGCCACCACCCACCCTCCCGTGTCCGCAGAGGCCTGGGCTCCTGTCCTCCGGTGGGGCTTCTGGTGCTGAGGCCCCAACCACGCAGGACAAGCATGGGCAGCCTGGGACGGGTAGGCTGCAACCCCCCTGCATGCCTCCCCCAGGATGCTGCCGCCAGAGGGTCCCCGGGCCTCCGAAGAGGGCACAGCCGCTGGGCCCCAGCGAGGTGACTGCGTCATCTGCTACTCAGCCTATGACCTCACTGGGCACCTACCCCGCCGCCTCTACTGTGGTCACACCTTCTGCCAGGCGTGCGTGCGGCGGCTGGACACGCCAGCCCACGAGCAGCGCTGGATCCCCTGCCCGCAGTGCCGCCAGAGCACACCCACGCCCCGTGGAGGGGTGGCCATGCTGGACCTCGACCTGGCTGCCTTCCTGGCCGTCAGGGCCGAGCGGGAGCCGCCTCGCACAGAACCCCAGCCCCCCACGCCCCTCAAAGGCAGCACCGCCATCACTCAGCAGCCGGCCAGGCTTTGGCCTGCCTTGGGCCCCCAGCCCCACTTCCCCCAGCCCAGATGCTGCTTCTGGGGCTGCAGCGGCCTCTGCTGGGACCCCCCAGGCAGCCCCGAGGCCTGAGCTCCGGCCGGTCTGCAGCACGCCTGCCCAGAACCTCTGGCACGTCTGCCCAGAACAGCCTGGCGGCAGAGTGTCCCGGGTGCCACTCTGCATGTTCACCCCGGGGCCACAACCTAAGGTCGGGAGCTGTGCCCACAGTACCGTAAGCCCCTGCAGGAGCTGGAATCCCAGCCAGGATTCCCAGGCCCCGCGCTGGTCTGTGTGCAGGGGAGCGGTGCTGCTGTCAGAGTCGCCTGCAAGGCCAGCCCGGGTCCAGACCCAGCTCACAGGGTGGCTCCTGAAAGGGTCTGGGCTGCAGGCCGGAGCGGCAGGGCCCGGCAGAGGCTGTTCCCGGTCCTGCTGGAGCAGGTCTCCCCTCCTCTACAGAACGGCCCAGAGGCGTGAGCCCGGAGGAAGGGAGGGCCTCTCCCTTCACCCCTGGCCCGTGAGGCAGCCCTGCGATGTTCGTCTGCTCACTGAGCTCCCGCTGTGTCGGGAGCTGTTTGGGGAGGGTCCCCCGCAGGCACAGTCACTGCTGCCACAGGTGTCCAAGGAGGTCCAGGCCCAGGGTGGGGGGACCTGCCTGAAGGGCTGCTCAGGACAGCCGCTCCCATGCCAGGCCCTCAGCTTCCTTCTGCCTCCCCGTGGCCACCAGACAGGCCCTTCAGAGGGACCAGAGCATGTGCTGGAGACAGTGGACGCAGACCCCACCAATTGGGCTGCAGCATCCCCACCCCCGCACAGGAAGGAGGCCCTGGGAGGGCCCACGGGGCCCGCGCCGGGCAGTGGGTGGCAGGGACGGACAAGAGAATGTGCTGAGAGGACACTCAGAAACCTCCGCCCTCCTGGGGACAAAGTCCCGCTGCACCAGTGACCGGTGGGCAGCAAGCAGGGGGCCAGGAAGACCAGGCCTGACAGGGAGGGGCCGGCCCCAGCCGGACAGCTCTTCCTCCCCACATCCCAGGAGCAGGAAGGGGACTAACCCCAATAAGAGGCACTCCACGAGCAAGGGGGCCAGTCAGGGCTCAGCTGGAGAGAGAACAGGATGGGCCGAGTCTCCTGGTCCAGGTGAGCTTGGGCAGTGGGCTGGGCAGCAACGTGGCCTGGGGGAGGGGCCTGGCCCGCCCTCCCCCTTGCAGATGACGGCATGACACCCGTGACCGTGACCATTGCTGCCCAGCACTGGGGCTGAGCCCGCAGGGAGCTCTGCCAGGCCCAGCCCTGCCCCAAGCCCAGACCTGAACTGGATGACCTCAGGGGCTGTTGCCCTCCCCGCCTACCTGGTGCAAAGGGCTTCCCTCTGGCTATCGGACCTGGGCAGGAAAACCACAGTGAGGTCCGTAGAGCTTCCCGAGGGGTCCCCAGGCTGGCCAGTCAGAGCCCCAGCACCCTGCCCTGCCTTGGGCAGGCAGCAGGCAGCACCTGGCGTGTCACCAAGTCATCCATTCGTGGAAGTCCAGCACTCAGGACCCCCTGCCCAGCCCCGCAACAGCCCTGAGTGACAGTGGGGCCTGGACGAGGCGGGTACCGGGGCTGCAGTGGTACCCCTCAGGGGCCTCGGCTCCTGGGTAAACATTAATGGGGCTCAGCGCACAGCAGGTCATGTGCGCGCCCAGCAGATCTTTGACCTGCAGCTGCTCCTGGCCTGTGTCTCCTCCCCGAAGGTGCCCCTCACTACCCACACAGGTAGGAGCTTCTAGGACCAGGTGGGGACCCAGGACACTGGGGTCAGGGCTGGGTGACCTCCAGGGCTTAGGCGCCCCCCCACTCTCTAGGAGCTGAGGGAGAGAGAGCAGCTTGGGGGCAGCAGGCTCCCAAGCTCCCGGGCCTTGGGCACTGGGAGCTGAGGTAGGCGGCTCGATGGGAGCTCCAGACCCAGCAGGCTGAGGAGGGAGCCTTGAGGTGGGGTGGGGGCGACCAAGCCCCCTGTCCTGCCCCCCATCACTGGAGGTGGGGCCCTTATCAAGCGGAGATGTTGCCGTTTGGTACCAAATACCAGAGTCTAAGCCGCGACCGGCTGCAGTGGTCTCTGTGACACCTGATAGGAGAGGTCCCCGAGTCCCCGGCTCCCGACCACTTCCGGCCACACCCCAGCACCCTATGCCACCCACCAGGCCTTCTTCCAGCCAGGACCAGCAATGGAGCCAGGGTTCCCTCAACTCGGTCCCCCCAAACTGGACTGGGCTCACCTGACAGCCACTTGAGGTCACTATAGCCATCTCCCTGCAGACAGAGGAAGGGGACAGTCACCAAGGCCAACGGCGGGTGGGAAGGGAGGACAGCGGTGAGGTCTCAGGCCAGGGGACCCCAAGACCTGGCGGGCAGGGGTAGGAGCTGTGTCTGAACTGCCCTTCCCCCCAGCAGATCTAGATTTGGGCCTGGGCCTGTCCCTGCCCAAAATCCATGCCGAGTTCCCTCACCTGCGCCCAGGACCCTCCTGCCACTCTGGACACAGTTGGCCTGGTGGACCAGAGGCTGGGAAATGCAGGTACCAGCAGCCCCAGGGTCCCGGAGCCTCGGCCTGCCTCCCTGCCCACCCACCTGGCCCCTGACCCATTGCTCTGGGGAAGCTGGGAAAGGGGCTCCAGCCCATCCGTCCCCAGGAGAGCCCAGGGGCCGGAACAGTTAGGGGCCCCCCTCCTTCCCACTCTTGTCCCTCACCCCAAGCCCCTGTGCCACAGTCCCCCCAACCCCTTTGGGCGCCACCTAAAGGTGTCCAGGAAACAGCTAGGTTCCTGGCCCTACCTGACCCTGATCCCTGCAGGGACCTCCGGTTCTGCCCCCATCTTGGAAGACGGGGATGTGGACCCCTGGGCCCTCCCTCAGCTAAAGGACACTGGCCAGTCCTGGAAAGGTAGATCTGGAGATGCTGGGTAACCAGACAAACGAGGCTCGGACTTGCCAGGGTGTGAGCGTGAGAGGGTTCTTGGGGAGAGAGAGCAAGGAGGGGGTTTGCCTCAATGGGCCCCATGGAAACCCGCCACGCAGACCACCACCAGGGCACCCTGGTCCCTCAGCTCAACGGCCTGCCTGCCCACCTGCCCTCCCTCCTCCCTCCTGTGGGCAGTGAGGCTCCCCGGAGGCCCTAAGGGGCTGTCTGCTTGGCCACTCTGCAAAGGAACAGAGGAGAGGGACCCTGGCCCTGTGCTGGGAGGGGGGAGAAGAGGAAGGGGCCTGGAAGGGGAGCCGGGGCGGGGGCAGGGTGGGGACTGGCTGAGGACAGCCCTGCCCTCTGTCCTCAGAGCTCAGCATGGCCGGCAGGGTGCTCCAGGGGGCTGCTGGCTTCCTCAAGGCCTGTGGGCTCCTGGGCAGCCTCTACCTCTTCATCTGCTCCCTGGACATCCTCAGCTCTGCCTTCCAGCTGCTAGGCAGTGAGTGACTGGCTAGGTGGCTGGGGGTGGGGCAGCCAGCCAACCGTCCCCAGCCTCAGGGCACCATCTCCCGGGCGTAGGCAAGGTAGCTGGAGACATCTTCAAGGACAACGTGGTGCTGTCCAACCCTGTGGCTGGACTGGTCATCGGCGTGCTGGGCACGGTCCTCGTGCAGAGCTCCAGCACGTCCTCCTCCATCGTGGTCAGCATGGTGGCCTCCAAGCGTGAGTGCCCCCCTCCCCTCCCCCAGGATGGTGGTGGCGGGGTGAGGGCTGAGAGGCTGATGCAGTGCCCCTACAGTGCTGACCGTGCGGGCATCTGTGCCCGTCATCATGGGCGTCAACGTGGGCACATCCGTCACCAGCACCCTGGTCTCGATGGCACAGTCGGGGGACCGGGACGCGTTTCGGAGGTGAGTGAGGTGCGGGGGAGGGCAGGGGCTGCGGCTGGGGCTTCCGACCACCCAACTCCGTGTGGCCTCAGGGCCTTTGGCGGCTCAGCCGTGCACGGCGTCTTCAACTGGCTCACGGCGCTGACCCTGCTGCCGCTGGAGAGCGCTGCGGCCCCCCTGGAGAGGCTCAGCGCACTGGCCCTGGGCGCTGCCAGCCTGCAGCCCGGGGGGCGCGCGCCTGACATCCTCAAGGTGCTGACACGGCCGCTCACACGCCTCATCGTGCAGGTGAGGCCAGCCGCTGTTTCCGGCAGGACCCACACGCCAGGCGTGGCGGGGAGGGGTTTCTTGGGGAGGTGGCGACAGACAGTCGAGGCAGATGTGGGCAGGGTGTCATCGGCTGGGGAAGAGAGAGCACACTGGGCCGGGCTGTGGTCCTCTGAGCCCCCAGGGAGTCCAACACCAGACCCAGACTCCTCTGTCCCCCAGCTGGACGCTGATGTCATTACGGGCCGCGGCACAGGCAACGCTACCAACAGTAGCCTCATTAAGCGATGGTGTGGCACCGAGGTGCAGACGGTGAGGTGCCTTGGACCCCTGAACTCCGACCCACTGAATTAGCCGGTGCTGGCTACTCTGAGCCTGTCCTGAGCCCAACCTGCCTTGCCTCCCCAGACTGCAGGGAACAGCAGCACCTGTGCGGCGGCCACTGGGGGCCCCTGCCCTGCGAGGAACAGCTCTGCCGCCGAGGAGCAGCTTCCCTGTGAGGCCCGGCGCCCGCCCCAGCCCCGCCCACCCCGCGCGCTGGCCGCAGCTCACCCACCCCTGCCCCGCCACCAGGTCGCCACCTGTTCGAGGGCACAGCGCTCGCGGACCTGGCCGTGGGCTTCATCCTGCTGGCTGCCTCCCTGCTCGTGCTCTGTGCCTGCCTCGCCCTCATCGTCAAGCTGCTCAGCTCCACTCTGCGGGGCCGCGTGGGCCAGGCCGTGAGCACCGTCGTCAACGCTGGTGGGCCTTGGGGAGGCGGTGAGGGTGGCGGCGAGGAGGCCCGACTGCGGGTGACCGGCTCCCCCTCCGCAGACTTCCCCTCCCCATTCGGCTGGCTCAGCGGCTATCTGGCCATCCTCGTGGGGGCCGGCCTGACCTTCGCGCTCCAGAGCAGCAGCGTCTTCACTGCAGCCGTAGTGCCGCTCATGGGTGAGCACAACAGGTGGCACCTGACCGAGGGGGCAGGGGGTGAGGGGCCCGTGATGACCCCTGGCTCCCCCAGGGGTCCGGGTGATCAGCCTGGAGCGGGCGTACCCCCTCTTCCTGGGCTCCAACATCGGCACCACCACCACGGCCCTGCTGGCTGCCCTGGCCAGCCCTTCGGATATGCTGATCAGCGCCGTCCAGGTACCACCCTCCCGCACCCCTCCCCTGCCCCCAAGCCCCTCCCACTCCCAACACAGGCCTGGGGCTTGCGCTCAGGCTCAGCCCCCTCCTGTCCAGCCCTCTGGGCTGGAGGCGGCAGGCCTGCCCTGGGGCTTCAGGCTCGAGCTCTCCTGGGCCCCACCTCTGGCTGCCTGCTCAAACCTGCAGCCTCCTCATCTTCCGGGACCCCAGGGGCCCTGTGGGCATTTCTCAGGATCCCAGGCCTTCTTCTCTTCCCCTGCAACCTTATCATTTCTAGGATCCTGTAGTCCCAGGGTACCTTCTTCTCCTTTCCAGCTGGCAGCTCCCCCCAACCTCTCCTGAGGGACCCCTGCATACTGCTGGCTGTGTCCCTTTGAGGCCTCCCGGCCCTCGGGGGCCTCAAGCCCCTCTATGCCAACACCTCTAGGATGTCCCCCACCCCCAGGCACCTAAACCCCACAGGCCCCTACGTGGACGACTCACCGTCCTCCTCCGTGCACCCTTGGCCGGTCACAATTCTGCCTCCGGGATGCCTCCCCCAGCTGCGCACCCCACGCCCAGTCCCATTCAATCCTGCGGATTCTCTCCAGATCATCCCGTGCTCCACTGCTTCTGTCCCAGCACCCTAACAGGTGCAGCTCCTGAAAGCCTGGATCTTGCTGGGCTGCTGCCCACAAGAAGAGATGAACCCCAGCCCTCCCCGACTCCCACCTGCTCTCTTGCCTTGGCTCTTTGTCCATTTGGAACCTCCCAGTGCAGGGCCCTGATCCACCCCCTCCAGGAAGCCCTCCGGACTGCACCCACCACACCGACTCCTCGACTTCTTCAGCAACCCCTGGAGGGAGTTGTGTTCTCTCCACGTGTGGCCCTGCAACTCCTCCTCACAGGAGCCAGGCCAGAGCCCAGGGCTGGGTGGCCAAACCCGCTCAGGGATGGCATGAGCGGGGTCACCATGAACGACGCTTTGGCAAGCTAAGCCAGCTCAGGGGAAGGTCGAATCCACGGGGTCATCACAGATGCAGTTACCACACGGGGATGCCGTACTAGGGCCCCGACCCTCAAAGTGTTGGGGGGTGCAGGAAGAGCGGGCCCAACACAGCTGGCCAGAATTTGCCCTCCCAGGCTGCCGTCTCGGCTAACGAGCGGGACCGCAAACTGCCTTTGGGCTTAGTGCCCTTTCTGCCAAGAAAGGGAGGGGCAGGCGTCCCGGGGAGCCCAGGGGACCCCGTACCACAGAGCCCAGGCTCCTGAACCCTGCCTGCCCTCCCTCCCTCCAGGTCGCCCTCATCCACTTCTTCTTCAACCTGGCTGGCATCCTGTTGTGGTACGTGGTGCCCGTCCTCCGGCTGCCCATCCCACTGGCCAAGCGCTTTGGGGACCTGACTGCCCGCTACCGCTGGGTGGCCGTCGCCTACCTGCTGCTCAGCTTCTTGCTGCTGCCGCTGGCCGCCTGCGGGCTCTCCCTGGCGGGGAGTACAGTGCTGGCTGCAGTTGGGGGGCCCCTGCTTGTGCTGGTACTCCTCATCATCCTGGTCGCCATCCTGCAGCGGCACCGGCCAGCCTGGCTGCCCCGCCGCCTGCGCTCCTGGGCCTGGCTGCCCCTGTGGCTCCGTTCTCTGGAGCCCTGGGACCGCCTGGTGAGCCGCTGCTGCCCCTGCAAGGCCTGCAGCCCCCCTCAGGCTGCGGCCAAGGAGGCCCACTGCTATGAGAACCCCGAGGTCCTGGCCTCCCAGCAGTTGTGAAGAGCGGGCGCCCCCACCCCCGTTGACCTCTGGGTGCCCTGAGGGATCCTAGTGGCTGCGGACATCTGCATCACCTGCATCACCTGCTTTGCAAATAAACAAGCCTGTACCCAGGTGTGGGTGGTCTTCTCTCCCCAACCCCAGGCTGCGTGGGCAGGGCCCCACCTGCCTCCATAGGGAGCTGGGAGTGGGGCAGCGCCGTTACTGCCCCCAGCGGACACCCGGGGCCCGCACTGAGCCCTCGTGGGAGCTGGCCTTCCCCGGAGGTGCGGCTACACAGCTGATCCCCGAGGCCCAAGCTGTGACTCTGTTTCTCTCCGCGGCCACTGGGGACAGAAGGCCCTAAGTAGTGGCCAATCCAGAGCGTAGAGACTTCCCGCAGCAAGAAGCTCAGGGTCCAGGGAGGCTGGAAGCGGCCGGGGCCTTCCCTGTGGGTACAGGAGGGAAAGGGCGACCGACTCCCACGCACCGCCGCCGCGGAGGACGCGCGCGGGCAGCTCCTGCGCCGTCCAGCCCCCTGTCGGCGGTCGGGCTGGAGGACGTCACGTGGCCGCGGCAGGGCCCCGAGTTCCGCAGGTGCGTCGGGGAGTGGGGAGGGCACAAGCAGAACCGGGTGGCCCCAAGGCGCCCTACTCCTTTCCGTCCCCGTTCTGCCTCTATCTCTTTTTCCGCAGAGCGTGGCGCAGGCGCTGCAGAGCACGGCGCTGCGGGGTGGCGCGTGGCCTGAGCGGGGAGGGGCGGGGGGGAGGCCCTGCGGGGAGGGGAGTGGGCGGGCGCGGGGCTGCGGGCTGCGGCTGGGGGGGGGGGGGCGGAGCGCGGGGCAGGCGAGCCAGTGCGCGGTTTCCCGGGTCCGCCAGCCTACAGTTGGCCGGCCGCCAGGGGCGCCACCCTGCCGGCCTGGGCAAAGGGGGTGCTCAGTGCCCCCCACCCCAGGAAGTGGGTCCTGCCCGCGACGCCCGGCGCCGCTCGCATCTGGAGGCCCCCACCTACGCGAAACACCTCGGCCGCGAGGCGGTCGAAGGCCTCTGGGCCAGGTGCCCACCTGGGGGTGGAGCGTGCGGGAGGGGGCCGCCCCCGCCCGCCCCCTGCTCCTCCCCGCAGCGCAGCGGGTTTCCACACAGGACCGCTTTTGTCTGGCGGCCGGGCGGTAACCGGACACCCCTCCAGCCCGGGGCTGCCCACAACCCCAGCCCGACCTCACGCCTCCGCCCTGAGAGGAGGGCATTGGCGGATCACGTGTCCCGGCACAAGTCGCGCACGGAGAGGGGCGCGCACGCGCAGACCTGCGGGCCGATCGGGGTCTGGTTTGCCCCGTTAGCTGCTGCGGCCAGTCAGCGCCTCCCGGTCCGTGGATGCTACCCTGATGGGAGCACCTTCCTTCCCTGGCCCCCACGTTTGCCTAACCAAACCCGGGGGGACAGGTGTGAATCGTCAGGAAGATGAGACCAGGGGACTCCAGAACCAATTATTGTCCAGGATCATGTCCTTTCACTTCTCAGGTCTCTCCGCCCCACTCCGTGTCCCCTAGTCCCTCTCAGCCCCTCCAGGTCTCCTGTCCCCCCCAACACGCTCCTGGGTCTCCTGAGCCTGGGGCTCACCCTGGCCTCGGAAGGAGCTAGTCACACGTTCTGAGAGCCACAGGGGCCTCATGGGAACAAGACCCCTGGGGCAGGCTCATTACCCCCTTTTGGCTTCCCCCCACTTTTGTAACCTCAGGACACACTTGTGGTTCTGACATCAACCTCACTCCCATGGAAGTCCCCTGAGGAGGGACTGGGCCTGGCTGCTTCCCTGGGGACATGGAGGGGGCAGGTCCCCCTCCCCATGGTGGGAAGGCAGTGAGAGGGGAAGAAAGTACCCCATGCACCTCTCCTTCCGGGGGCGGGTGAGGCCGCCCACAAAGGCTGACTGCTGGGTCCTTTGAGGCCGTGAACGACTGTCTGCCTGCTGCTCCTGCCTGGCGGTAACGCACCCTCCCGCTGGGACCATGGCCACCGGTAAACAGAGCCGTCGTTGTGGATGCCTCCGACAGCTGCAGGCTGGGGCAGGAGGGCCAGGCGCCTAGCACTCCCACAGCCCCTGCCCACTCTGCCCTGCGTCCCGCTGGGCCACAGAGCCGCACTGGGCCCAGACCGGCCCCCCAGCCCAACCTCTCCACCCTGCAGCAGGAACACCCTTGGCTAAGGGTGGGGACCTGCAGGGCTTACCCCCGCCAGCCCTGGGCAGCAGTGGCAACTGTGGTCCTTGGCCGAGGGACACGGGGAGCTTCCTGCTGTCTTGTTCCCAGTGTTCACTTTGGGAGGGCAAGGTGGACAACCTGGTGCCACGGGGGGCTCTGGGGCTCACACCTGGGTGGGAGACACAACCTCTATTTTGTTACCTGTAAAGTAGGGGGGCCATGCCGAACTCCCAGCCCTGTGTGCACTGGTCACAGGAAACAGGGACCTTTGCCAGTGGGGATCTCAGGCAAGTGTGGGGGGCAAGGAGAGAAGGCTTTGACAAACATCTCAAAGAGCACTGCTCACTGGCTCGCTTGGAGGAAAATCTGAGCTGCTCCCTTGCTCACCAGTTTGTGGGTTTGGGACAACTCAATGCTACCAGGCCCCAGAGCCTCCCTGCTGCAGGGCCAGGGCCGTGCAGACTGCTGCTTGGGCAGCTAAACCACTTTGCAGGGCACCGTGAGAACCCCGGATGCCAGGCAGTGACCCTGCACACCCCACATGCCACTGCCTGTGGCCAGCAGAAGCCGGGCCCACCTTCCTGGACTGGCATGGAGGGGGGACTGACCAGCACTTTGACATGCTGACTCACCCTCCAGGTCAGGACTGCAGCTGCAGACCACTCTCAGGGGATGCAAAGGCTAATCTCTATGCCGGCATGCTGCTTGCCCCAACAATTCCATCCACAGATTAAGTATAGAATAACATGTCCTAACGCTGCAGTATACCATGATACCGTAGTGTCATGTATTACACGGTGAAGAGAAAAGCGCATTCTCTTTAGGTAGAAATAAACAGGTATTGCCCCCAACACCCTTGGGTTGGTGAGCAAAGGAGGGTAAGAACCGCACTGAGAAAACCAGAATCTACAGAGGACCCAGTGGCCACGGCAATGGAGGCTGTCCAGGGCAGACCCAAGGTCGTAATTCCTGGTTTCTTAAATGTTATGCAAATATACTGCAAGTTTACTGTTTGTAAAAGGAGTGATTAAAGGTGTGACCACGTGTAATTTAACTGTTTTTCCTTCATAAATTTTTTCCCCCCCAAACAAAAATCAAGGACGAGTAAAAACATTTGTCCACCCAGGTGTACTGGTCCGTGGTTGCCCAGAGGCCTGGGCGCTGCCCTCGTCTCCACGCAGTTCTGTTCTCTCCTGGGGCCAAAGTCTCAAGGCAACGGGCGCAGGGCCAGCGCGGTCTCCACAACAAGCCGCTGCTAGGCAGGGCCCCCTCCCGCCCTGCCCTGCCCTCCTCTCCCCTCCCCGCCCCACCGGGCCCACTTCTCCCCTCCTCTGCCCCCTCTCCACGGGCCCGGCGCAGCGGGCCCACGTGCTCCCCCACCTGCCCGCGACGGGTGCGGACCAAGGAGGGGAGCAGGGAGCCACAAGGTCTCCGCCGCTCTGGGGGGAGGGCCCGACTCCACCGACACACCCGCCCCGCCGCCCCTTGGCTCCTGAGCCCCGTATGTCTCTGCTATGAACGGCTCCGCGCCCCTCCTCGGCTCGAAGACCCAGCAACCCGCGCTCGGCCGCCCTCCACAGGGCGCAAGGCGGGCCCGGGCTTAGGCGCTCGCCCACGGGGCGCGCCCCGCCTACCTTCCCCGGGCCTCGGGCCGGCCCTCCCCCGCCCTCCCCGCTTGGCCCCTCCCGAGCCCGCGCCCCCGCCCGCGTGGGTCCCCGCGGCACTGCGGCGGTTACCAGGACGCTGGCCCAGCGTAGCCAATAGCGCCGGCCTGTCGGCGTGCTCTCCGGAGCCAACCAATGAAAGAACAAATCAATCATTTGAACCACCCAATGGACAGAGCACCGCAGAGCGAAGGGGGGTATTTTGATAGGGAGAGCAGAGGCCGCGGCGGACCAATAAAGGGCCAAAGGCGTTGGGAAGGCGGGCGTTAGGCGGAAAGATTGACGGAGCTGCAGCCAATCAAATGAGGACGCTTGCTAGCCTCGCTCTGGAAACTCAATACGAGGCTGGCGGGGGCGGGCGCGGCGGCTATATAAGCACCGGCGGCGAGTCAGTTGTAGCACTCTGCGCGCCAGCTCTTCGGCCCTCGCTCCTCATCTACCACTGCTGCCGCCGCCGCCGCCGCCGACGCCATGAGGGAGATAGTGCACCTGCAGGCCGGCCAGTGCGGCAACCAAATCGGCGCAAAGGTGAGCGGGGGCGTCGGGGCCGGCGCAGGTCTTCCGGGCGGGGCGAGCGGGCGGCGGGAAAAATGGCGGCAGCGGGCGGGCGGCGGCGGCCCCGCATTGCGGCCCCGCGCGGCGCCCGAACCGGAGTCGGGGCGGGGGCGGCAGCGAGGGCCCTTGGGGGACGGCCCGGCGGCGGCGGCGGCGGGGGAGGGGAGGGCCGCGCCGTCCGGGGCGGGGCCGGCTCCGGGCACCTCAGGCGTGACTCAGCCCCAGCCCGGCCCGCTCGCGTCTCCCGCAGTTTTGGGAGGTGATCAGCGATGAGCATGGCATCGACCCTACCGGCACCTACCACGGGGACAGCGACCTGCAGCTGGAGCGGATCAACGTGTACTACAACGAGGCCACGGGTGAGACCCCCGCGCCCTTTCCCCACCCCCTGCCGCCCCGCGGCCCTCCCGTCGCTGACGCCCTCCCGCCCCCCAGGTGGCAAGTACGTGCCCCGCGCCGTGCTCGTGGATCTGGAGCCGGGCACCATGGACTCCGTGCGCTCGGGGCCCTTCGGGCAGATATTCAGGCCGGACAACTTCGTCTTCGGTGAGCTGCAGGTCGGGCTGGGGGCTGGCTTGATAGCCAGGGCGCCTTATAGGTCAAGGGGTGCCCAAGGTCGTCAGTTTTAGGACCGCAGAGCCGAGGTCCTGATTCACTCTGCACTCCCCGTAGAAGCGGGGTTCAAGGACACACTCCTTCCTTCTCGAGTCACTCAATCCCCGCTCCTAAAGCGGCTTTGGGGGGAAGGCCCAGCTGTCCGCACGCACGGAAGGAGCAGGCAGATGTAATCTGCCAGCCGTGCAGGCTGAGTCAGAGGCGGTGGCGGTTCCTCTGCCCTTGGGAATTGGCGGAGGCTGCCCGTGGGAGCAGCTGGCTTGTCGTTCAACTGCTTTAGCTTGAACTCTTTATTTCTAATCGGGTACGTCGTTACGTTATCCGTCTGGGGGTCCACCTGCTGTACCTGCGGTGGGGGGGTTGTGTGTGGCCTCACGCCGTGTCATCTGGCCTTTTGGCACGGGTGACCAGTGGTGACCACGTGCCTGGCCGAAGAACGACTGGCTGCTCTCCTTTGCAGGTCAGAGTGGTGCTGGGAACAACTGGGCCAAGGGGCACTACACAGAAGGTGCGGAGCTGGTGGACTCGGTGCTGGATGTTGTGAGGAAGGAGGCGGAGAGCTGCGACTGCCTGCAGGGCTTCCAGCTGACCCACTCGCTGGGGGGCGGCACCGGGTCAGGGATGGGCACCCTTCTCATCAGCAAGATCCGCGAGGAGTACCCCGACCGCATCATGAACACCTTCAGCGTGGTGCCCTCGCCCAAGGTGTCGGACACGGTGGTGGAGCCCTACAACGCCACGCTGTCCGTGCACCAGCTGGTGGAGAACACGGATGAGACCTACTGCATCGACAACGAGGCGCTGTACGACATCTGCTTCCGCACCCTGAAGCTGACCACGCCCACCTACGGTGACCTCAACCACCTGGTGTCGGCCACCATGAGTGGGGTCACCACCTGCCTGCGCTTCCCGGGCCAGCTCAATGCTGACCTGCGAAAGCTGGCTGTCAATATGGTCCCCTTCCCCCGTCTGCACTTCTTCATGCCTGGCTTCGCCCCACTCACCAGCCGGGGCAGCCAGCAGTACCGCGCGCTGACGGTGCCCGAGCTCACCCAGCAGATGTTTGATGCCAAGAACATGATGGCGGCCTGTGACCCCCGCCATGGCCGCTACCTGACCGTGGCCGCCGTGTTCCGGGGCCGCATGTCCATGAAGGAGGTGGACGAGCAGATGCTTAACGTCCAAAACAAGAACAGCAGCTACTTCGTCGAGTGGATCCCCAACAACGTGAAAACAGCTGTTTGTGACATCCCGCCCCGCGGGCTGAAAATGTCTGCCACCTTCATCGGCAACAGCACAGCCATCCAGGAGCTGTTCAAGCGCATCTCAGAGCAGTTCACGGCCATGTTCCGCCGCAAGGCCTTCCTGCACTGGTACACGGGCGAGGGCATGGACGAGATGGAGTTCACCGAGGCCGAGAGCAACATGAACGACCTGGTGTCCGAGTACCAGCAGTACCAGGACGCCACGGCCGAGGAGGAGGGGGAGTTTGAGGAGGAGGCCGAGGAGGAGGTGGCCTAGGGCTGCGGTACCGGGTGAGGCATGGGAGCCGTGGGAACTCTTTATTCACTCAGCCTGTTCTCTGATAGCCCTGTCTTTCTGTGTGTGTATTTGTTCTTCTTGTCTCGACATCACATGCTGTACAGGTACCACCATTAAAGCGTTTTCATAGTGTCTGGCTGCGCCTCTCCAGTTCCTTCTGACAGGCCTTGCGGGTGCTGTTGCCAAACGTCAGTGCGTAGTTGTCCTGCATGGCTGCGAGGGGCACCACTGCAGCTGAGCGGGCTCGCCACGTGCGCAGGGTGAGCACGCGAGTGGCTGCTGGAGGGGTCGGCTCGGCCTGCGAACACGCCGACTCCTGGGAGCTTGGGGCTGCCCTGGGCCCCTGCCTCCTGAAGGCAGGTCTGGCCTGTGCACAGGAAACCTCTAGAAGGCCAGCATGGTCTGCAGGCAGCTGGCCTCTGTATGACTTTTAGTGTCAGGGCTGTGAAACCCTTCTACACTGGGGAAGAGGGGACGTTGGGTAGTCCTGCCCCAAGGGAATCGTGTGGTCACACAGCTGGCCTTCTGCCTGAGGTTCAGCACGGGCAAGGGAGCCCAGCCCCGGACGCCTCCCCACAGTGACCTGTCACCGTGACCTTGTCTGGGATGGGGGCGGGGAGCCTACTGCACTCACCTGGTATGAACCCCATGTAGAAAGGTATCAGACCTTGGCTTCTGTAGATGGTGGTGTTAGGCCACTGCGTTCTGGGCAGCCTCTCGCCCGGGGCACGGAAGGGATTTCTGAGCAGGAACTGCGGAAACAGGCAGGCGTTGGCATGTGCTGCCGCCCCCAACTGGTAACCAGTGAGCAGAATGTCCCGGTGGGTGCAAGGCTGACATTCTCCTGGGAATGAGTGGCTCAGGGTCTTTTCCCATCTGTCTGCAACACTCCGAGGCAGAGAGCCAAGACCTAGTCAGAAAGACGTTTGGGGGGCAGGGGCGGGCGGAAGGGAGCAGCCTCTTTGGGCCAGGCAGAGCCCCCTCCCTCCAGGGAAGCCAGAGCGTGGAGACCTCTGTGCTCGCCCAGGGATGGTGTCCACATACCTGGCTCTTGTCAAACTCATCTGTGGCCTGTGCGACCCCATCGCGAAAATTCATCCCTATCACCCAGGCAAAGCGAGGGACAAAGCCAGCATAACCTGGGGAAGGAGGAGCCAGGGCCCCGTTCCCAATCATGCCCATCTTCCCCCGCCCGGGCATTCGCACCTGCTCCCGGGGGGTTAGGGAAGTCTGTCTGGGCTCCTCTCTCCCCCTAAACAGACAGGAATGGGTCAGCAGGAGCTCCCAGTCTCGGGGAGGGCCCTTGGGCAGCCTCACTTGCTCTCCCCAGGTCCTGCCTGGACCCTTGGAGCCTTGCGGGTGCGTGTCGTGCCCAGGCCCCAGGCACCCACCTGAGATGGCCTTGCGCTGGATCAGGTCGGGGTGGTCCATCTGGGGCGGCCTGTGGAAGCAGCCCACACGTAGTGTCTCCCGCTGGTGGGCTGGGGCCAGGCAGTCTTCCCTCATGCAGGGGCACAGCTGGAATGGGGAGGGGCAAGTCAGCACCCCAGCCCCCACCGGGCTCTGGCTGTGGCGAGGCTTGATCCCAGTGCTCCCAGTGTGTCTCTCAGTTACCTGGTACTGCGTGGGGGCCTCACGGGCAGAGGTGGCGCTCATCCAGGCCTCTTCCCCTAATGCCAACCGCAGGCCCGGGTGTCCAAGGTCCCTGGAGTCCCCCTTCCTGCCCGGTGGGCAGGGAGAGTAGAGGGGGTAGGGCACGAAGCCTGCAGGCAGTGGGACTTGCCTGGATACATTCTCTCCTCCCGGCGGCCCCTGGGCATCCACCTCCTGGGGTGGGAACCGGCCCAGGATCTCACAGTTCTTGTAGGGCTTCAGACCTGTATGGACAGGGCAGCCTTGAGCCACAGCGGGCATGGGGGCGTCCCCGGGGCTGCAGGGCCGGTGGGCGGGCAGCGGCTTAACTGGTGTACTGGCAGACGTAGGGCTCTGTCAGTTCACGGCAGGGCGTAAAAGGTGGCTGGGACTTGCTGAAGTCCTCGATGGACTTGGGCTTGGCTATGGGGGACAGCACGGAGCACGGGCTCTTCGGCACGCTGGCGTCCGCGAGCAGCTGCGCCGTGGTGCGCCCATAGGTGTTCCCCACCTGGTAGCGCAGCTGCGGGTAGAAGCCGGCATAGCTGTGGAGGAGAGAGGAGCCGGTGTGGACCCAGCCTACTGGCCACGGGCAAGATCCGCGACCCGCCTACAGCATGGGGTCACGGCAGCACCTGCTGTCCGGGGCTCTTGGGGCTTGAGTGGGCAGCACAGGCCAAGCACTGAGAACAGGGCTGGCCCACGGGAGGGGAGCTCTGTCATCACCACCATCGGGGTCCCATCCACCCAGCCATCTTCCAACAACAAGGGTCTTAAAGATGAGGCAACGGGGAGCTCTGCCCCCCCGAAAGCATTGCAGGGGTGGTCTGAGACACAGGGCAGCCCATTGTACACGAGTCGGTCCCGCCAGGAAGGTATGGTGGGCATTGGGCCCAGATGGCGGCCACCCGGGAGGCTGGCGGGAGGTGGCACTTGAGCTGAGCGTCATTGAGGCCCGTGGGGAAGTGGCGTGGGCGCCATGGCTAAGCCCTGAGGGCGTCCACTGCTGCCCGGGGCCTGTGTAACGTCCGAGGGGGGTGCGTTGCTTTCCTCTTAAGATCTGCTCAAGAGGATGCAAGTTTGTCAGTCAGCTGCGCGCGGCTGGGGCTGAAGGTGAGAGCCTCTGCAGTGTCACCAGAGTTGGGTCGGGTTCTTCCCAGCCTTTTCCTTGTATGTGGTCTGAGTGTGTGTTGGTGTGCACACACACTCTGGAGGCCTGTTTCTATTCTTATTTATTAGGTTGTGCCGCACAGCACGCTGGATCTTAGTTCCCTGACCAGGATCCCACCCGTGGCCCTTGCAGTGGAAGCTCAGAGTCTTAAACGCTGGACGGCCAGGGAAGTCCCTCGTTTCTGTTGTTGGCATGCGGGACACCTAGCAAGGTGGCCTGGCATCGGTGTCCATCACTTTACTCCACATGCTCCTCTTCTCTTTATGTTTTTATTTATTTTTTTTGGCCGCGCGGCATGCAGGAACTTAGTTCCCCAACCAGGAATCGAACCCGTGCCCCCTGTGGCGGAAGTGCAGAGTCCTAACCACTGGACCGCCGGGGAATCCCCAGTTCATCTCCTCTTTAAAGCGCGGAGTGCTCTATGGAAGGAGAAGCCAGCCTCCCCAGCTGTCGCGCTGTCCCCAGTTTCTGCTCTCGACAGACGTGCTGGCCACCTGAGACGGCTGCTCCAGCAGGGCAGGTCGGCCGGGCCCTCTCGAGCCCACCCCAGCCCTCCCTCCTGGCCCCTCCAGCCCTCGGCCTCACCCCCATTTCCCTGGCCTTCCGGGTCCCCAGGTTCCTGCTCAAGGGCCTCACCCTCTGGCCTCAGCTTCCTGGAGACCCAGCTCTGGGGCCCCCCTCACAGCTGAGCAACCTTCAGCCCTTAGGCCCCGGCCTTGCTCCCCCATCCTCGGGGACCCCAGCCTCCCCGCAGGGCTCCGGCGCTTACCCAGGGATGTAGTGAGGTTCCGGTGGGAAGAGGTTGTGCTTCTGAGTAGCTGTCATCGCGCCTCAGCTCTGCCTGGGCTGCCTTCAGCCCCTCTCGTGCCTGCACCTGGCTCCTTCCAGAGAGGAGTCCTTGTTGCCTGGCAACCATTGTGAAGAGGCCCGGCATTGTTGGGCAGCACCTGGGCCGGGCCCCTTCCCATACCCTGTGAGCACTCCCATTTTACGGGAGGCCCGGGGAGGCGTCTCACTGAGGACAGACCTAGAGCTTGGGAAACGGGGACTGTAATTGCAGCCCAGTCGGTCCTGCTAGGTAGTGAGAGGCAGGGTTGGGTTTGAACACTTGCTACCCGCAGGGGGCCAGTACCCAACTGAAGGGCAGCCTCCCAGGGTGAGACTAAGGGAGCCCCACCCCAAGCCCCCTCCTCAGATGCAAGGCCCTGGACGCTTTGGAGGCATTGCCACAAGATTCCCGAGCCGGGGAGCTGCTGGGACTCTGTCCTGGAGGGTCTTTCCCCTGGAGCTGGGCACTATTTTCCATTTTAAAGAAATTCTGATCTGTGTGTGTGTGTGTGTGTGTGTGTGTGTGTGTGTGTGTAGGGAGGACTGTCTAACCATAAAAACGAAGAAAAATATCATAAAGGCAACGATTAGCGGGTTCAAATACGTGTCAAAAAACAGTATAAACAATACTAAAAGGCAGATGAGCAACTGGGGAAAAAGTTTGCAGCAAGTGTTATGTGCAGACGTGATATCAGTGGAAACAACCTTACAAAACAAACCTATGAAAAATTAACACCCCACCAGAAAAATACATGTGAAATGTGCCTATAGTCAACGAGGGCGGAGCCTCTGTCAAACGAATGCTGATGAAACGCTGATGCTGCACTTTCTGACGCTCCTTTGCCAGCATGAGGACCGCCTCTAATTTGGGAGCACAAAGGCTGCACAGGCTTTGACCCACCGCTTCCACTCCGTGCGTCTATCCTGCGGAAATGATCCATGTTTAGCTGAAGACAGGCGTGCACGTCATCCACCATGGCGGATGGCAGTATTTGTTATAGGGAGAACTCCCAGCGGCTCACGCCCAGTGACAAGGGCTCTGACAAGCTATACCTGCATCTGTGGGTGATTATGCCCTCAGAGAACACCATGCACCACGGGAAGGGCCCTGGAGCACAGACTGGGAGCCCCCCGCCCTGATCAAAGGTGTGTTTCCTCAAGGAAGTCTTTATCTGTCTGCCTGTCCATCTGGAGCACCTCCCGAGGCCAGGCAGGGCCAGCGTCAGATGGGAGGGCTCTGGAGAGGAAGAGACGGGGGTGCAGAGGAGGAGACATTCTTGGCCGGGCCCCGCCTGGATGAGGCCAAGGCCAGGGCTGAGCTGGTTGGCTGGTTAGCTCTGGAGCGCGCCGCAGGGCCCGGTGTGCAGATGGACTCTCGCTCAGTCGGCCTCGTCATTGTCATTCCTTTGCGTTTCAGCCTCAGCAGCCCCAGCTGTTTGTGATACCCTCCAGCCTCTGTGCCCCCAAGAAGACAGGCCTCCCCACCTCAGCCCCACCTGGGCCGCCAGGCCTGCCTCTGGGGTGGGCACGGTCCACTCAGAGCCAACCACTGTTGCTCCACTTTTCCGAGGGCCGGGTTTTCCGCAGGGGCTCCTCCTGCGCTAGGGAGTCTCCCTGGACCGTACACCCTACCCCCACGCCTCCTTCAGCTGGCCCTGGCCCCTGCCCCCTTCTCCACCCTCTGCCAGGGCCTCAGTCCTCCCCAAAGCCCTACTAGAGTGGACCCCAGCCCCCCAAGAGACCCCAAAGTCCAGGAGAGCGGAAGGGTTGGGGCAAGAAAGTGGGGGAGGGAGGAAAGGTGGCTGAGCCAGGAGTCACGGGCGTGGGGCGGCTGAGGGCCTCCTGGCCATGGCTGATCCCAGGGCAACCCACCTGGCAGGTCAGGGGAAGGGCACCTCCAGGGCTGCTTCCCCAGGGAGTTCCCGGCAACAGGGTGGGGGTGGGGGGCATGACCAGCCAGCGAGGTCACAGAGCCCCGAGATGTCCCTGGGGGAGGGAGCCAGAGACCCTGACAATGAATTTTGACCAAAAGGCGGTGAAATTCCTGGCAAATTTTCACATCAATGGAGGCGAACACTGGACCCATGGCCCCCTAAAACAGAAGCCACTTGTGACTTCCCAGTAACTTCCCAGGGCGCTGGGCGGGCTGGGGGGCGGGCAGCTGGCATAGGGTGGCTATTGGCTGGGGGCATGGTGGCCCCCAGGGGTGCAAGAGCTCCAGGCGGGCCTCAGGATGCTAACGGGCCCCTCCAGGAAGCCCGCCCACCTGCGCCCACAACCTGAGGGAACTGTGTGAGTGAGGGCTCTGGACCCCCAGCCCTGGGCCGGTCTGGGGAGGCAGGCCGGTTGGTGGAGGCCCGCCTGGAGGACCCAGGCCCAGAGCTTGCTTCCCGCCAGGGCTGGAGCGACGCCCTCCCGTCGTGACCAACCTGGGCGTCCTGGGCCCCACCAGGTACCGGGTGCCAGATGCTTCGGCGCGAGAGTGCTCCTCACTGCCCCACTCTTCACCATCGGCTCGCATGCACCCCACCCTGACGTGCGCCCTCCCCGAAAGCCCCCACTGTCCGCCCTCACCCCCGGAGTGGGACCCCGGCCACCAGCGCCCCCATGACGCTGCCCCCACCGCAGAGGGTGGCGGCTGCAGGGCGTGGCAGACCGTGTGGTTCCCGAGGGAAAGCCCTGTCACCCAGAACGACTTCAACTGGGAGCAGGTTTGCCCGGCGGGTCCTGGGGTGGGGGCGGGGGCGGGTCCCCCGAGGGAGGAGCCTGCGGCGACTTTGACCTGCAGTGGCCCTCGGCCCGCCGACTACCAGCCGCCCAGCCCGCCCGCCTGCCCGGCCTTCAGCTTCGGGGGTCGCCTTACTCCAGCCCCCCCCACCGAGGCCCGAGCCCACTTGGGGATGCTGCAGGCCTGGGGTGCAGGGCCGTGGGCCCAGCCCCTCCTGCAGGTCCCTCTGCCGACGGGGTTAGCTCCATCGCCTACAACATCCTTCCCGGGTGCCGCCTGCCAGGCCCCTGCCCGCCCGCTTTCTGCATGAGCTGCTCGCCCCTGCTGGTCTCCTGGGTGGGCTCCTGTAAGGAGGTGGGCGGGGGCGGGGGGGGGAGGTGGGCACCGGGCAGAGGGGCCGGGCACGGTAACTGCACCCACCTTCCCTCTGCAGCCTGCACCCTGGGCCCGGCTGCCTATGGCGTGGAGGACTGCTACAACTCGCACTTCCCCTCCGCACATGGGGGTGGTCATCCAAGGCTTGCATAGACCCAAGTGCCACGACACTGGCCCCTTCTGCGCGCTCTCGAGCCCAGTGGGTGCAGCTGGCCCACCCAGTTAGCACATGAAACCCTGGCCTTCCGGGCCTGGGGGCCTTCCCGGGCCTCCCTCTGGAACTCAGTGCCCCCAGCCTGGCCTTCTGACCCTCTGGGCACCCATGATCCACCCTCCGGGCCGGCCGACCCCTCTGACCTGTGGACCCAGCCTGGAGCCCAGCCTGGAGCCCTAGCCCGGAGCCCCACCTGCCCACCCCCCTTGTTATATAGAGATGCTGTTGCTTCTTCCGAATTCTGTGCTGTGCTTGGTGGTCTTGCCTGGTGAGCTGTGCTGCAGATGTGGCCGGCAGCTAACCTGTCATGTCCGGCTTTCTCTGGCCAGGGATCCCCCTCCCCTTCCCCTTCAGAGTGTCTCCTCTAGGGTGGGGTGGCCTGGGACAGGGTGGGAGGGAGCCCTGTGGGCAGTGTGGGACACCCCCATCTAGCCGTGCCATCCCGGAGAGGGTCCGGCTGCCAGTCTACCCAAGGATCAGGCTGCTTGCCGAGCCGAGGAACTGACCGTTGCAGTGGAGGCGGGGGGCAGTCTTGAGGTAAGGTCAGACTGCCCGGCCACCAGGTAGGGCCCAGAGGACCAGGTCGTTAGGGCCCGGCCCCCCTTCTTCCCGCACCTGCCCAAAGACCCTGTGAACTCACACGGGGCCGTGCAGGCCAAGCTGTAGCCGATAGACTCCCCAGGCTTCACTGTGCGGCCCGGCCCCTGCCCACAGCAGCAGCCTGGCCACTGGACTCCTCGTCACCATGGACCCGCCCTCCTACCCAGGGGTCTGCCCCAAGGCTGCCTCCCTGCAGGGGCCTCACCTGCAGCTTGTGGTGGCTCCTGTCTCTGCACCAATTTCCCCAGGGGTCCTCCCTGTGTCACCCAAGCCCTGGGCCAGGCCCCCTTCTCTGTCTCCTCTAAGCTCAACCCCTTCAAACAGTCACTGCACAAGAGCTGCTCCCATGGTGTTGGCATCATCCCTTTCCGCAGGGAAGCCAAGGACAAGTGAGTCTGAGCGTCGCGCACCTGTGACCTCCTCCATGGCTGAACCAGCTGGGGGTCAAGCCCCAGCACCCTCGGGAATCAGAGCAGTGGGACTGCAGACCGTTGGCACTGAGCCCTGGGCTGACCAGCTCAGGCAGCGGGCAGCAGAGATAGACCTGGGGCACTCTGGCCTTGGGAGTCTGGCCCAGCGTGGGAGGACCAGGAGCCCTCCTCTCAGCTGCACCACAAGCAATCCCTAGGTCTCAAAGCCAGGAGCGGGACCAGCAGGAAGGTTGCAGCAATCCCTCGAGCTGGGCTGAGGAGGGAGGGTTTTCCGGAGGGGGCTTTCAAGGATGAGTTTGCTGGGCAGCAGGAAGGGAATTTATGGCACAGCAAACCTCAGAAGCCAAGGCACATGAAAAGGGAGAGGGTGTGATGTTTGGTGTGGCCAAGCTTGGGAAGACCCCGAGCTGGTGGGACAGAAGGAGGTGAGCTGGAGGGATGGAAAAGCTGCAGAGGGCTGCATGCTGGGTCCGGGGTCTTGCATGCTTGGCAATGGGGAGCCCACGGAGGGTGCAGGGCAGGCAGTGACTGCTGCAGGCACTGTATGGGCATCTTGCACTGCAAGAGATGAGGGACCCCATGGAATCCAGGGCTCACATGTGCAGCGAGTTGGGCTGGACCTCAGCCTGAGGGCCTAACACTTTTGGTTAGCAAGGGGGATAGATGCTCAAGGTGACAAGAGGACAGCCATCCTTTGTCACCCTGTCACTGCGTGTCCAGGTCTCTGCTAGGCACTCCCTATTTGAGGCAAACTGTTGTTTTTTTAAAAAAAATAAATTTATTTATTTACTTTCGGTTGCATTGGGTCTTCGTTGCTGCGCACGGGCTTTCTCTAGTTGCGGTGAGCGGGGCGGAGGGGGGCGGCTACTCTTTGTTGCGGTGCGCGGGCTTCTCATTGCCGTGGCTTCTCTTGTTGCAGAGCACGGGCTCTAGGCGTGCGGGCTTCAGTAGTTGTGGCACCGAGGGCTCAGTAGTTATGGCGCATGGGCTTCGTTGCTCCGCAGCATGTGGGATCTACCCGGACCAGGGCTTGAACCCGTGTCCCCTGCATTGGTAGGCGGATTCTTAACCGCAGCGCCACCAAGGAAGTTCCCACACTTAGATTTTGGTCTTTGTGACAACACTACGGTGTGAGCTTCGCCGGGTTGGACAAGGAAGAAACCAAGTTCCAGGATGAGAGAGGGTCGTGCACCTGGTGGGCGCTGTGAGGTCAGCAACAATATTTTTCATGATTACTAAAACGCTCTTGGCTAAAATAGCAGCTATGAATCTCCTGAAGCAGGCCGCGGCACCCCGCTCCCTGTGCTCCATCCCCCTCCTCCGGTGCCCCCTCCCCCAGGCACGCCGCAGCACTCCGCCCTCCCTCCGCGCCAACCCTGTTCTCCTTTGCCGGTAAACGGCTGCAAGCGCCGCGAGGCTGGGCGGGGTCGCGCAGGAGGGCGGGGCCCGGGTGCGCGGGGCGGGGTTTTCTCGACGCCCTGTGCGTCGTCCTGGCACCGCCTTCGCGCTCCGTCTCCGCCAGGCGAGGGCCGCGGCGCAGTTGCCGGGAACCTCTCCGGGGCGGCGGCGGCGTTTCCGGGGAGCCGGTTGGCGGGCGGACCCGGCTCCTGTGCGGGGCGGAAGTGGGCGGCTGCGGTCCGAGGGGATCCGCGCTGCGGGCGGAATCTGGCCGAGCTGGAGGGCGCCGGGGAGCGGAGCTCGGGCGGCCCCCGAGGCCCGGGCGAGCGGACAGCTGCGGGGCCTGCGGCGAGCGCGGCGGTGCCCGGGGAGCGCGGAGGAGATGGGGCGCCGAGCCGGATTGGGGCCGGGGCGTCGGCCATGTTCGCGGGGCTGCAGGACCTGGGCGTGGCCAACGGCGAGGACCTGAAGGAGACGCTGACCAACTGCACCGAGCCGCTCAAAGCCATCGAGCAGTTCCAGGTGGAGCCGGGTGGAGGAGCCGGGTGGAGGGGCCGGGTGGAGAGGCCGAGCGTCTGGGTGTGAGTCCGGCGTGGGGCGAGGTCGCGTGGGAAAGCGGGCAGATTTCTCTCCCTCCCGATCGCTGCGTCTTTTCCCCGGGCTGGAGGAACCAAGTGTCCTGAGTTGAGACTACGTCGACGGACATCTGAGTGGTTTCCAATTTTTGCAGTTACAGCCGGCGCGGCTGGGAACATCCTTGTCCCTGCCTCCGTGTGTACTCAGGGCATCCGGAGTGCCTGGCCAGACGGGGCTGTGGCTGAGGTTTCTCTTGTCGCCCGAAGAGTCAAATCGAGCTCCGCTTCTTTAGACAGAAAATGGCGTGCTGCTGCCCTCCCTGCAGTCGGCCTTGCCCTTCTTGGACCTGCATGGGACGCCCCGACTGGAATTCCACCAGTCAGTGTTTGATGAGCTTCGGGACAAGCTGCTGGAGCGCGTGTCAGCCATTGCCACAGAGGGGAAGGCCGAGGAGAGGTAAGTGGGCGGTGAGATGGGCAGCCCCCTCCCCAGCTCGGGCACTGAATGTGCCCCGGTGGCTACACATCCCTACTGAAAAAGGGGCCGCCTGTGCACATCACCCACCGGTCTGGGGACGGGCAGGGAGCTGCTTCCGACTTGGTCCTGGGCTGCTCCCTCAGTGCTGAGAGTCCTTCCAGGTACAAGAAACTCGAGGACCTTCTGGAGAAGAGCTTTTCTCTGGTGAAGATGCCATCTCTGCAGCCAGTGGTGATGTGCGTCATGAAACACTTGCCCAAGGTAACAGCCGCAGGACCAGCTTGCCCTGGGGAGGTTTCCCGAGCTGCCTGCCTCAGGAATAGCAGCTCCGGAGCACGTTCCCCTCGCTGGCTTCTCCCTGAGCCGAGCCGCGCATTGACTGAACCTTGGCACAAGCTCTGGAGCGTGGCGCCCTTTCTGGGAAAAAGCTGTTTGTGGGCAGCACAGCTCCTGCCCCGTCAGAGCCTGGGGGGCCAGTCACGGGTGCCGCTGTCAGTTGGGGCTGGGCTGGCTGTGGCCTCTGCTGTGGGGGGCTGAGGCCTGCCGGCTTGTCTTGAGGGAGACCCCTGGGGCACAGGTGCTGCTCACAGGTGGGCTCCGGGGTCACGTAGGTTCCTGAGAAGAAACTGAAGCTGGTGATGGCCGACAAGGAGCTGTACCGGGCCTGCGCCGTGGAGGTGAAGCGGCAGATCTGGCAGGACAACCAGGCGCTCTTTGGCGACGAGGTCTCCCCGCTGCTGAAACAGTACATCGTGGAAAAGGAGAGCGCGCTCTTCAGCACGGAGCTCTCCGTCCTGCACAACTTTTTCAGCCCTTCCCCCAAGACCAGACGCCAGGGCGAGGTGAGGCGGGGCGGGGATGTGTGCAGGGCCTCCCCCGTGAAGCCCGGCTTGTCTGCTTCCAGAAGGCTGGGCTCGGATGTGGGGCTGGCAAGGGGCGTTGCAGCACTGCACCTGGGTGTGGGTCTCTGGTCTTTCCTGCGTACTTGGAGCTCGGCAGCTTACCCGGCCTCTTCAGCTAAACTCTCTGTGTCTTCTTTCAGCTCTGGGACCTTTTCTCTGTTTTTGTGTTTGATTCATTCCTTGTTTCAACAAATGCTTTTTTTTTTTTCTTTAAATAAATGTATTGATTTATTTATGGCTCCGTTAGGTTTTCGTTGCTGTGCGCAGGCTTTCTCTAGTTGTGATGAGCGGGGGCTACTTTTCGTCGCTGTGCGCAGGCTTCTCATTGTCGTGGCTTCTATTGTTGCGGAGCACGGGCTATAGGCGCACAGGCTTCAGTATTTGTGGTACACGGGCTCCGTAGTTGTGGCTCGTGGGCTCTAGGAGCGTAAGCTCAGTAGTTGTGGCACACGGGCTTAGTTGCTCTGCGGCATGTGGGATCTTCCTGGACCAGGGCTCGAACCCGGGTCTCCTGCGTTGGCAGGCGGATTATTAACTGCTGCGCCACCAGGGAAGCCCAACAAATGCTTTTAGGGTGCTGACTCACTTCCCTGGCCCCTGGGCCCTTCAGTGACCCCTGGGGTACTGGGGCACC